AGTGTCTCTGGCTTGGACTGCACTGATAAAATAATAAAGACTGGGCTTCCCTGGTGGCACAGTGGTTGAGAGTCTGCCTGCCGATGAGGGGGACATGGGTTCGTGTCCCGGTCCGGGAAGATCCCACATGCTGCGGAGCGGCTGGGCCCATGAGCCATGGCCACTGAGCCTGCGCATCCGGAGCCTGTGCTCCGCAACAGGAGAGGCCACAACAGTGAGAGGCCCACGTACCGCAAAACAAAACAAAACAAAACAAAATAATAAAGACTGTGATTGATGGCATTCAAGCTTTGAAAATTAATGACACTCTCTTCTGTCAGAACTGCTCGTCTCCAGTCATGTGTATTGTCCGTCAGCTTCCTTGTTGGATTTCATTCTAAATGTGCCTCACAGTTGCATCAGGGGTTTTAAGTAAACATTAGAAATTAGTTTGAATCACTGAGAAAACCTCTCACCACCCACATTACAGTTTAATAAAGTAATATTTAACGTACAAAGTCTTCTTCCAAAGTTAATGGACAACCCCGTGTGTCATTGCTCTGTCTGTGGAGTCCTGCCATTTGGACAGTGAGCACACAACTGCCATAACCCAAATATCTGAGGGAATTATCCATAATGAATTATCTTATCATATATATATGTACACATTTAATCATATAAATTAAACTATAGAGGCTAGAATGGGGGAGGGATAAGCACTCAGAAGGCTCCCTTTGGCTGCCCTCCAGCTGTGGCCCTTCCCTACAGAGAAAGATGTCTGAGCGGTCGAGGCTATGTGCTCACCCAGAGCCTAGGGCTGCAGAATTCCCAGCCCAAAAGACCTCAAGCCCACTTCCAGGGCTTGTACAGACCTCTTCCCCAGGTATGCTCTTTCAAGCGCAGATGACACCATCAATGCAAACATTTCTAGGCAGAAGGAGAGACCTAGGGGCCACACTAGTCAAAGTAAGCCCCTCACAGAGGTAGAAGGGAGGGGGATGGGCCACGGTCCAGGATGGCCACGCTCTCCCCAGGCCAGCATGTTTGTGGCACTTTGAGGAGTTAAAACCTGGCCAGTTAGGTCAGGTGAAAGCTTAGCTGTCAAGGCAGGAGACGAGACCATATTTTAACAGTTTGATCACTTGCTTTGTAACAGCTAGATAGCTAGACATACGGTATGTGGTCTCCATCTGTGTGCTTGCCTCAGGCTTCTAAATGTGCTGCCCAGGCTTGTGTCCTTTCCGCCACTGAACTCAGTGAGAATGTGAGCACCCCCCACCCCCCACTCCGTTAGTGAACGTGGACTTGTGGATTCTTCACTTGTCTCAGTGCTTTGCATAGCGTAAACACTTCCTCCCCATAGGGCAGCGTAAACACTTCCTCCCCTTAGGGGTGGTCTAAGGGAATTTTCAAGAGGAATCTTCAGGATCATAACTTTCTACTAATCCAGTAAGAAGCAATCTCACCAGGTCAGTCTAGGTTACTCCAGGCAGTATAAGGGACCACAATGATCTAACCCAAGGGAGAGAGGAGTTTTTAATTTTCTATTTCCTTCTCAGGAACAAATTCTATTTTAATGTGCCTCATTGTCACCAAAGTCTTCCCCCATGTAGTTGTTATTCCTATCATCATATTAGAACTATTTTTATTTTTTGAAATTTAATACCAATGGATTACAGCTTATTATCAACATATATTCAGCGGTAGATGTCCCTTTCCCTCAGGGCTGACTCAGCCACCCCCAACCCCACCCTGACTTTCCTAACCTAGATAATTCCACTTCTGTTCATATGTTCCCCCAGGGCTTGTTTTTAAAATCGTTTTGGCTTTCTGTATCATCTGTAAATTTTCCACATCCCTTTTGAGATGAAACACAATGTGGATACATCGCATTGAGAATAACTGCCTCATAAATTCCACCCGGGGTTTTTGTTAAAATGCAGAATCTGGTTCAGTAGGCCTGGGATGAGGCCAGAAATCCTGTTTTTCTAACAAGCTTTTAGATGATGACAGTACTGCTGGTCCTGGGCACATAGCAAGTTGCTGTCAGATTTCATCATGGAAAAACAGCAATTTCTGTCCCACTCCTTCCCGCTCCAAACCCACTCCCCAGAGATGACCATTTTTTGAGCTATAAATATCATGCTAATATCATACTGATACTTCCTGATTTTTTTATTTTATACACTTAACTCCTGAATTATTTCTATAAAAGATTAAGCTGTGGCTCTCTCTCTCTTTTTAAACTTTTTATTTTACATTGGAGAATAGTTGATTAACAATGTTGTGTTAGTTTCAGGTGTACAGCAAAGTGATTCAGTTATACATATAAATGTATCTATTCTTTCTCAAATTCTTTTCCCATTTAGGTTGTTACATAATATTGAGCAGAGTTCGCTGCGCTATACAGTAGTACCTTGATGGTTACCCATTTTAAATTAAGCTATGGCTCTCTTATACCAGCTCTTCATGCATATTAATTTCACCCATCTTCACAATATTATCATATAATGTGTTTTGGTTAGTTAATATATTCAATGTTTACATTACTATGATTATATAAAAATTGTTAACAGCTGAACCATATAACATAGTATGATTATATTTCCATTCTTGTATTATTTTAGTTTTCCCTGGATTTATTAGTTGCCTCAGATTTTTTATTTAATCAATTTATTTTATGTACCTGTTACTAATGTAGCCCCAAACTTTCCTCCAGAACTTGAAAGGTCCTTAAAATATAGTCATACAGGTCCATCTGAATTTCTGTCTTTTTCTTTCTTTTTGGCAACATCCCTCTGGGAACCCTCCATCTCTTGCTCCAATCTGGGCTGATTGCCCTCTGATCCTGTTGCACAATCGTGTTTTGTTTTTTTGTTTTCTGGTTTTTATAAACTTACTCTCACCATCATCCTGGGGAGTGAGTGCATCTCCTACTTTACTAGGTATTGAGACATTATTCTCAAAAAGTGATTGTACCAACTCCCATCAGAATGTATAAGAGTTACCATTGGGTTATGCCTTTGATAGTTCCTCTACTCCATTTCCTCTCTTCTCTTTCTGGAACTTCTGTTTGTTGTTTTGAGTTTGTTGATTCTTTATTTGTTATCTTTTCTATCCTATTTTTTATTTCTTTGGGGTTTTTTTGTTTTTTTGGTTTTACTTTCTGGGACATTTCCTCAGCCCTACTTTCAGCTCTTCTGTTGTTTTGTCTATTTCTCTTATTATATTTTTAATTGTTCATCATTCTTTTCTGAATGTTCCTTTTGGTAGTATACTATTCTCCTTTCATGGATGTAATGTATTGGTTACATCTGTAAGGATGTAACATCTGAAGTCTTTTAAACATCTTTAAGAACTTTTTAATGAACAAAACATATATGTATATACAACTATATACTAAAGTATATAGAGAAATACAATGAACCTTCATTTTTACATCACCCAGCTTCAACAATAATTAACATTTTCCCTGTCTTAGTTAATCTATTTTTCCCATAAACACACATATTTTTCCTGGAGTACTTAAATTCCAGATAGTATAGCATCTTACTCATTGATATTTTGGTAGGTATCTCTTATCTAGAAGAAAACATTTTTAAAACACCTAACCACAATACACTTATCACAAAAAAAAACGAAAATAGCATTTACTTAAAACCTTTCCTTAATTAAACTCCATTATTTGTTCAAATTTCTCCACTATCTTGAAAAGATCTTCTTACAGCTGGTTTGTGCAAATCAGTATCCAAGCAATGTTCACCCATTACAGTGGTTGATTTGCCCCTTTCCTATGCCATTTATTTGTTGAGCTAATGTATAAAACTGAGCCTGATATACTTTTTTTATTATAATATTTTTTTAGTATAGTTTTTTTAAACTTTTCGTTTGCTTTTTGCATTCTCTCTTTTTTTCTGAGTTCTTGGTTGTTGATTTTTGTATCTGCGTTTCATGTGAGAAGCTTTGTCAAATGCTGGATGACCGTTAGTTTACTGTTTAAGAGCACTAAAAAACTGGAAGTTCTGTGTGCATGGTAGGGATTTAGACTTAAGAGTGATTATTAGGACCTGGCTGTCTCACTGGGGGGTCCCTAAAGGCAGTATCTGTAAGTTGTTTCTCCCTTGGTCTGGTTACCTCCCGGATATCTCTCCTGGAGGTGTCAAGCAGAGACAGGGGCATGGGCTTCCCCTAGATTTGACAGGATCCTCCTGCACAGTACCTCACCCTGCCCTCATCTTGCCCTTGTATCCAAAATGCAGAGAGCCTCTCTAGTTCCTCTGATACATCCGCTCCAGAGAGTAAACTTCCTGTCTCCCACCAGTGTCGGGGAATGTTGGGAACCGCGTTGCAAGGGCTGGGGCTAGTAACTGCTCCTCCTGTTCAGCCCTCACTCCGGACTCAGGGGGCCCAGTGTTTCCAACCCCAGGTTCTGAGACACACTACCCCTACTGCCACCCTCGCTCCACACTCCCCCACCTCTCATTTTGAGACCTAGATTACAGCTTTATTTTCCTGGAAAGTAAATAAAACCCTAGCTATTACTTTACTGAAGTTTCTGGAAGGAGCTGGGGAAAGTACTCGTTTTACACCTACCATGTTTAACCAGAAGGAAATCTTGCTTTTTTAAAAAAAAAAAATCCATTATGACATTGACTTGTTTCTTTTATAGCTACACACATATGGCTTGCTTTTATTAATGGTTGGTAAGTCAAAAGGACTAACTTCCAAAATTAAAAATAAGGAAAAACTTGTCTGAATTCAACTGATGAAAATATACTGGAATTGTAAAAACTAGAAATTATATTGTTTTGGAGACTTAAAATCATTCTGTTTGTGGAAATGAAGATTTCTCAAACTCTGTATATACTTTAAATAAGCTTTTAAATAATAAGAAGGAATGTTCCATAATAGGAGGTGTTTGAGGGTATTTACTTTAAGAATTTACTAATGTTTATAAAAGCATGCCTAATAATAGATAACAACTATGTATTTGTAAGATAGCAATTTCTTTCTCCCCTTAGGGCTGTCACATGGTGACTGAGGAGCTTCATTCCATAACATTTGAGACACAGATCTGCCTCTACGGCCTCACCATAGATTTGGAGGTAGGTATTTCAAGGAATATCTACTATTTACTAATAACATTTTCAGGAATTGGTCATCATTTGAAGATGAAAGCTCAGTATTTTCTAGGTTTTAGTACATTCCTTATTCATCATTTTTATTTTAATTTAGGAAATCAGTATGTCAAATAGTCACTGATTCGTCAACATATATTATTCTGGTTAAATATAAATGATAAAATCTCACAGTCATTATAATTCAAGACTTATTGAATAATTTGTTTCCCAGACTGTTTTTTTGTCTGTTTGTTTGTTTTCTGGGGTTCTCTGAGTCATGGATACTCAGAGGAAAGCCTAAAGAGAAATAAGTATACTTGAACCATGTCATGTATGATATATTTTCAAAATTTTAACGTGTACGTAAAAATCCCTCAGAAGAAAGGTTTTCATAGTATAATGAGCAAAGACCAATGATAGGAACATTAACGGTACATTGTTTTGATCCTCTTATAACTGTTACTATTGAACTCAAAGAAGGAATAAGGAAACTGGGGATTAAGTTGAACATGATTGACAATGAGCTCTTGAAGGCAGGACATTACACCTTTATCCCTCCATTACCTGTGCCTAGCACAATGCCTAGCACATAATAGATGCTCAACATTTGTTGAATAAATGAATGAGTGCATAAATGAACAAACACAATTTCACATGATTGAATATGGTCCTATTTGTAGGATATGTTTTTTTAGAGTTCTGCCTTTGCTCTTTTATCTTAACGAATGTAAACATGTTTATAAAATTTTCCATGGATTCTTTCCTCATCTCTTTTCCTTAAATGTCTGTTTCCATGAGCTATTAAGTTCCTCAGGTGGGTATTTCACTGTCTACAAGCAACCTAACCTCTGTTAATGGGAAGGGGCTAATGTAAGTTGGTTAGAGTCCCAGACTAGTCTGTGAAGCCTGTTTATTCCATAAGGTTGAAAACTTCAGCACGAAAGTACTAAGTTGGGTGCCATGACAACAGATGAGGCAGCTCTATCTCCCATAATGCTTTGTTTTCCAAGATCGCTTGCCTCTCCATCTTCTACAATTAAAACTCCCATATCTGATACTGACATTAATTAGATGTTAGATCATAATTTGAATATATTAATCCATTCCAGAGATAAGTTTTAAATTAGACTCTTAATGTAATTTATTAAGAGGAAATTTGCTAAGTCAATACAAGCTCTAATTAGTTACATTTTAGGCAGTACATGACATAAGAAAGTAAAAATACCTCCACAATGTCAAGGAAGATATTGGAGCTGACTGACCAAGCACTCTGAAAGGATTCCTATTTGTATAGCTCCTTTCCTCCCTGTACCTTGACTCATATATGCTCAGAAGGTTCCAGTGCCTTCATGAATCATTTTAGTGACCAAGGCAGTATAGACACCACTGCCTTGGAGAAGTGGGGTTGGCTTGAGATGACCCTTTAGGGAAGAGGGCCAAGTGTAAAATCAGTGTAAGGTACTACTACCTGTAATAACTGTGCTATTTTTCTTTTTAACCAGACCTGCTCATTACCTGTGGTGATGATTTCCAATGTCAGTCAGTTACCTAACGCTTGGGCATCCATCATTTGGTACAACGTGTCAACCAATGATTCCCAGGTACAGTCTCTCTCTATTCCTGTTTCTTCTCCTTTAATTCTATTTGATTTGCTTTATTGTTAACAAAACCCATCTGCCCCAAAAGATGTGTGTGTGTGTGTGTGTGTGTGTGTGTGTGTGTGTGTGTATAAATTTTGGCATGTCTTTGTGGATTGTTTATTCCAAAATTCCAATATATTCAGTTGTATGATTCCTCCCTCATGTCATATTTAAAGTAATATGTTCTGATGTACTTGGACCCTGAGAGAGTTCTGGCTAGCAGAAGTGACAGACAGGTATTCTTTATTTATGACAGTCTGGTCAGCTCCCAACTCTGTACATCACAGAGAGTTCTAGGGCCATCCTGTGGCTCTGTTAACTAGGCTCTGGGGAGACTCCTCTCTCCAGAATTTGATGTCTGACTGTTGTGTTTACCTCCTCAACTACTTCTGGCCACACCTTATCCACATAGGCTCTTCCACAAAGGTAGAGAATTGGTTTCAAATAAGTGACTAGAATATTCATCAATCTCGCCTAACGACACTATTCAAATTTTCAAGTTGATTATAGATTTAATCCATTCTAGGCTCAAATTTGGTTTTAATGCCATCTGGTGGTTATTTAAGATATGGAACAAAAATTGGCCTCAAGTTTCAAAGCAAGCAGAGAATAGAAGCTCTTCTTAACAGAAGGCCAAGGAAGGGTGTGGCAAAAAAGATGAGTCAGCATTTCCCCTTGCTCCCTCTTACAAAACCCCAGTGTGTTGTCCTGGAAACCACCAAGGTCTAGAGAAAATAGGTCAGATGTAAATATTTCTTCTTGATTCAAAGCAAGTGTTTCTTCCAAAGGGAAGAATTCTTTTACCTCAGGTCCTAGCAATAGGAATAGTCATGATGAGTAGCTCCAAGTTCCTTCGCTTTTGTTTTAATGTGCCTAATAAGGAAACAGCATGGAAAATGACTCAGCCCTGTTCCTTCTCATCCTCTGGTGCCCTGGCATCTGAGGGAGATTAACTGCAGAAAGGAACGCTGTACAGAGTGCCCTGTGCCTTACTTCCTCTCAGCCTGCAGTGAGAACAGAACTCACTAGAAAAGTTACCTGGTCTGTAAAGCCAAGAACAGCCAACACTTCTGAGATTTAATGTCATTCCCCATTAGGAGCTACACATTTGGAGCTTTTCATCCAATTCCAGGATGTAGGAAGGAAGATGGGATACTCCTCTGTCCTCCAGCCTCAGAGTGCTGTGCTGCTACACTTAGCTTTCTTCAGCATCCTTCTTCTATAAAAAAGCCACAAAAGTTGTCACACTAACCATCTCAGATTCTGCTCTAGTCTTGGATGAGGAATCTGGAGATGTATTTCATATACAGCTCCTAACACATAAATGCACAGCCTACATACAGAGTCCAGCAGAACAAGTAACTCTGGTTTCTCTTCCTAACTCTATTCTGCTTCAAAACCTAAGCTCCTAGACCTTGATTATGTTCTCTGCTTTTTGGTCATTTGTCCAGACATAATCCTTAGGTTCAAGGAAAACTGCCCCTCTAGAAATTCTTTCTCTCCATTCCTCTCCTACCTATTTCTCACTCCTTCTTGGATGCTGTGTCCTCTTTTATTGCCACCTTCTGAAGTCTCTTGAATTGGTTCCTTTTCTTGCTGCCCAGCTTAGTTCAGGTTCGCCAAAGGCCTTCTCCCCATACTGCAATGGATTTCTTAATTCCTCCCCCCACCCTCCCTTTCTTAAAACATCTTTCTCGGCTTTCACACCTTCTGCTTTCCAGTAATCTGAGGTGAAGTCTTCTGTTCCACCACCGTTGACCCATTTTCTGGTACAAACAATCTTACTTGCAGTTGATCATACCAAAGATCCTCTTGTCTAGAGCAAAATAAGAAAAGACTACAGTCCTATCCATAAAACAGGAGTCCCAGGTTAATTATGATTCATATTGTAGGGTCCCCTTCCTTAGCCTGGGACTTAACTGTCTTTGTGCTTTGGGATGCTTTGTCTGGTCAAGGTATAACTTGTACCAATCCATGATAAACCAATTAAATAACATGATATAGGTTTTGTTTAAGATTAATATTATTTTAGAAGAGAGTATTTGTCTAACTTGTTGAACAGTGTTCAGTACTTGTATGAGTTGGTTGATAGACTATAGTCTAGGGAAAGTTAAAGAGCTACACAGTGATTCTTTCAAAGATAAGATAGAGCCATATATTATATTAGACTCAAAGAACAAGGGACTCTTTAGGAAAAGGCAAAATCAGTCTTACTATAAAAGCACAACAGAGATGAGACAATAGTTCTGTATTATTAACTGAGGCTGGCCTAAGGAGTTTAAATCAGGAATCCTGTATGTTGAACTACAGTGGGTTCAATGTGATTAATACATATAATCATCACTACAACTCTGTTTCAGAACTTGGTTTTCTTTAATAACCCTCCGTCTGCCACTTTGAGTCAACTCCTGGAAGTGATGAGCTGGCAGTTTTCATCATATGTTGGCCGTGGCCTGAACTCAGATCAACTCAATATGCTGGTCGAAAAACTTACAGGTAAGATCTGGTAGATGTGGAGGACTTGCCCCTGTTTTTGGTACTCAACCGTTTTAAAGAATGAGGGTGAGATTGCTATTAATAATAATAATGATCATCACAATTTATTGAGTGCCTACTACATCGCTGGGCATAGGGCTAAATGCTATAGTATCTTTCTCACAAAATTTCCTTAAGGCAGAATATTGAGGATAATTCTTCATTCTATCCATTTTATACATGGGGATACTTAAGTTCAGAGACTAAGTGACTTGCCACAGCTAGTACATACTAGAGCCAAGATGCAGGCCAGGGCTGTCCAGTTCTAAAGCCCCTTCCTTTCCACTCCACACTCCAGCCTCCAGGGTGTTCTTATGCCATTTCCACTGAATGTACTGTGAAGCCTTAATGGTGCCTTGATCTTCATATTAATATTGCAATGGTCATTAACCAACTGGAAAACAGCTGATCCCAGGATCAGGAAATTTATTATAAATTTAAAAACTATCCAGGTAATACTTAATTCTTCATATCGAGAAAATTTCAGTTTTGACTGATATTTCTAAAGTTTGCAAAATAGTCACTGGTGCTCCATGTAGTGACTACAGTGTAAGCTTTTTATAAAAGAATTTTAAAAGACGTGTATATTTTGACAAGTATGGGGTGAACACATTTGGCACCAAGAAAAGAGTTAAAATTGAACTTGTATACATTTCTGGTTAAAGTAGAGCCAAAGATGATTTTGAGCAGCAGTAGTAGAATCGTGTGTGTTTGGTTAAATTTGACTTACAAGTGATGCTGGGTCACCCTTGTACTTACTATCCGATCAATTAGTGTTTAAATAAATTGGAAATATTACAAAATTTACTTAATGTAAATATCCTTTTTGATCCTTATTTAATTCATAAACCACAAGAGTAGGCATTCAATAAGTATTTGTTACTGAGTGAATAAATCTTTTAAATATATACAGTATAAATAGCAGCCATATCCTTTCGGGTCTTCATCAAATTTTTCTCATAATTTCCTTAAATTTTAGATAGAACCTCTTTTTTCATTGTCCTGGATCAAAACAGTCAGTGGAAAAAAAAAAAACAAAAAAAACAGTCAGTGGTTCCTTATCGCCAAGTGGATCTCTAGTTCATTCTTTTCATGACAGTATTCAAGACTTCTGGCATTCTGGCTTTCACAAATTTATTTTATAATGTTTATTTACCAACATTAGGCTGCACTTCCTTTCTCCTATATAAGCTGTGTTCATATCCACTACACCTCATCCTACATTATTCTTGCTACTGGAGTGGCCTCTTCCTTCTCCTCTGACAATTTATATCCTATCCATTCATGGAGGTCTTGTTCTAGACACCCACCCACTTCCTAAGGCTAACTTTAGCTCCTCCATTGAAAAGAATTCTTTCCTAGATAAAAAAATTTCATGATATCTTTTATTTTTACTGTTTCTAGCATTAAATGCACTGTAAACCCATAGCACGTGCTTAGGAAATGCTTAGCAGTGGTAGGGGGGGAGATCTAAATTGAGCACCAAATTGAGGAGTCTAATTGTTTAATAAAAATCTCATTCTTTTCTTTCATTTTAGTCCAGTCTAGCTACGGTGATGGTCATCTCACGTGGGCCAAGTTCTGCAAGGTACAAACAGGGGGAGGGGTAGCATCATTTCGATTTTTTTTTAGTATTCCTTTTTAAGCCTCCATATTATAATTTGGGATTTCGAGGATTTCCTGGATAAGGTTATTTTAAGAAGAAATTCGAAACTGTTTTTTCATTTAAAGGAAATATTTCATTGAAAAAAGGAACTTGAATTATCATACTAACATTACTATTGAAATAATCATTGTCCTAGCATGTTTGTTTATTCCAATAGGAGCACTTACCTGGTAAATCATTTACCTTTTGGACATGGCTTGAAGCAATATTAGACCTAATTAAGAAACACATTCTTCCCCTTTGGATTGATGGGTGAGTTACAGCCTATATTTTCTATATGAACTCATTAGGTTCTTATTTTTATGCTGTCAATTTTTTTCCCTTTTTAAAAACATTGAAGTATAGTTGATTTACAATATTGTGTTAGTTTCAGGTGTACAGCACAGTGATTCAGTTATACATACATATACATATATATGTGTATATATATATTCCTTTTTAGATCCTTTTACCTTATAGGTTATTAAAAAGTATTGCGTATAGTTTCCTGTGCTATACAGTAGGTCCTTGTTGGTTATCTATTTTATATACAGTAGTGTGTATATGTTAATCCCAACATAAATCCTAATTTATCCCTCCCTCCAACCCCCATTCCCCTTTGGTAACCATTAGTTTGTTTTCTATGTCTGAGAGTCTGTTTCTGTTTTGTAAATAAATTCATTCGTATTATTTTTTAGATTCCACATATTAGTGATATCATATAATATTTGTCTTTCTCTGTCTGACTTCACTTAGTATGATATCCTCTAAGTCAATCTATGTTGCTGCAAATGGCAATATTTCATTCTTTTTTATGGCTAAGCTTCCATTGTGTATATATACTACATCTTCTTAAGCCAATTATCAGTTGATGGACACTTAGGTTGCTTCCATACCTTGCCTGTTGTAAATAGGGCTGCTATGAACATTAATAATAAATGCTGGAGAGGGTGTGGAGAAACGGGAACCCTTGTACACTATTGGTAGGAATGTAAATTGGTGCAGCCACTATGGAGAACAGTACAGAGGTTCTTTAAAAAAAAAAAAGAGTTACCATATGATCCAGCAATCCCACTCCTGGGCATATATCCAGAAAAGATAAAAACTCTAATTTGAAAAGACACATCACCCCAATGTTCATAACTGCATTATTTATAGTAGTCCCTTTTTCTTTTCTTTCCTTTTTAAGCATATCTAGTGTCATAGTGTGGAAAGTAGTTGCAGTTTCTTACACTTTATAGAGTATTAATACTTACTTTAATCTGTATAAGAGTATTTCAGGCACTACTGACTTTTGATTATATCACAAAAAATTCAGGTCTGTTCTTTGTGAAAGCAATAAATGCAAATGCAATAAATTATAATCTTGGATCAGATAAAACTATGCATGTTCTATTTTTAGGTATGTCATGGGCTTTGTTAGCAAAGAGAAGGAACGACTCTTGCTAAAGGATAAAATGCCGGGAACCTTTTTGTTAAGATTCAGTGAAAGCCACCTTGGAGGAATAACTTTCACCTGGGTGGACCATTCTGAAAATGGTACATGCTCACTATTATGTATTCATGTGAAATTAGTATTGTGTTTGGTTACTGGTCTTTCCATCTTCAGAAGTGTGTGGCTTGCTGTTCTTTTATGTGTTCAGTGGGCTTGAATATTAGTTGTTACAGTTGTTTCAGAGGAGGGTAGCATGAATTTCTCACAGCCTATGTGGGTGTCCTGTATCACGTGGCAATCTGTACTGTCCACATGCAGAGAAGGGCTGGCATTGTTTTACAACAAGTGACATGAAGATAACGTGGGTAGGAAGAATGGCCACAAAGAATGCCTGCAGGAACCTGAATATTCTCTCTGTTTTCTCTTTTTCCAGGAGAAGTGAGATTCCACTCTGTAGAGCCCTACAACAAAGGCCGGTTGTCTGCTCTGCCATTTGCTGACATCCTTCGAGACTACAAGGTTATTATGGCTGAAAACATTCCTGAAAACCCTCTGAAGTACCTCTATCCTGATATTCCCAAAGACAAAGCCTTCGGTAAACACTACAGCTGCCAGCCATGTGAAGGTTAGGTTCTTTCCGTTTGCTTTGCTTCTTAAGATTTTGGAAAATAATCTCAGATTGGAGTAAAGTAAATGAAGTCCTTCCCTTTATGTTTACTTTTATCGTTATAAGATCTAAGAGGTATGTGGAGGTCAAAGCCTTAGAAATGAAGTGGTGTGTCAGCAGTTCCTGAAAAGGAAGAGCTGGGGCTGTCCAGCTAGCAGAGCACTTAGTAATCAGTAGCTGTAGACGGACTTCACCATGGCCATGGGAGCCTCTCAGCCACTGGTAGAGTTTCGGTTTTCTCCTTTCTAATAGGAGTGGCACCAACTTCACCTCTATGCCTGGGGAGAGGAAAAGAAAGAGGAGGTAATGATTAGAAAGCTGTTAAAAGTTAGGCAAGGCTGTTTTTTACAAAAGAAGCTCAGGGTTGATAAGCTTTATATTTTTTACTTACTGTAGTCTCACAACTCAGAAAGTATCGTTCATTTACCAGGGAGGGGACAAGGGGGTCTGTGCTTCATACCCTTCCTCGCAGCCTATCAATAACAAGTCTTGACATACCTGCCTTTTCTGGTTGTATCCTAAGGGTCTAAAATGATACCTGGCCAAAACAGGTATTTGGTAAATATTTGTTGAATACATGAAAAGAACATTCATGAAATAGCTATATAATTGTAATATAAGTTCACTATTCTGTTTCTTTAAATCGAAGTATATACAATCCATTACAATATTTCATCTGTAGCAACTAAATACATGAGCGTCATCATGTGGAATATCGTACAGCTGTCACTCACAGGTGGTGACTTTCTGCCACCCTCCTTCATCCCCCTCTGAAGCAAACAAAAGACAACAACCACCACAAAAACCTGTGGCTTTTAAGTGTTTCTACATCTGACTGAATGAAATAACAAATGTCAATGCAACAAATTACAGCTGAAGAATTACGGTTGGTCCTTACTATTGGATCACACACAAGTTCAACGTAGTATACCAGAGAAATCTGGGGGGGTTTCCAAGGTGAGGTTTGCACATGACTGTTACTACAGCACAGCAGTGCTTTTAGTAACACTGATGTCTGTGCCTCAAAACTTTGTGTAATTATAAGATTATGATTGGTGTCAGTTTTAATGAAAATAATTGCATTACTATAAATCCCCAATCCATGAATAAATCTGTCCTTATAATTAAATTTAAATGTAACATGGAAGACAGGTAATATAGTTGGTTCCCAATTTTTCTCACACAGTTTAGAGCATTAATATGTAAAGTCAGGTTAGGCCTGCCAAGAGATTTGTTTCTCTCTTCTTGCACATTTTATGCTCATCTAAAATGCTGTTTCATCTATTCAACTAAAAAAATTTGTGAATCACTAGACAATTGTATTATCTCTTCTTTTTAGTATCACTTATACTTTTTTAGACTTTTTTTTCTAATTTTATCAATAATAATAACATTTTTCCCCAACATACCTTTCTTTTCCAGTTTCAAGACCAACAGAAAGGGGAGACAAAGGTTATGTCCCTTCTGTATTTATCCCCATCTCAACAATGTAAGTAATCTTAGTCACATGTAAAATAGTTCTTATTGAACTTATCCAAAAAAAGCTGGAAATTTAAGAGTAGAGCAGGGTACATATAACGGAGAATAAAGCATTTTAATGCTCAATGTCCCATTACCTTTAACACATAAAGCTAGTCTTCAGGATGCACCACGAAGCCCATCACGAAGGAATTCTAAAGTTGCCCTTTTATATGCCTTATATTCCATAGCAGGCTGAAAGCTCTGATTTCAAATGATGAATTAGGCATCTCAGTGTCACAAATAGATGAAGTCCTAGAAATGAGTTCTGTTGGGGAGATGGAAATTTCCCCCTCTACCCCTTCCAGTTCTTATGGCTGGACTAATAATAAAATTGACACAAGGTAGATTAACAGGATAAAAGGAACAAATTTTAAGTCGTGTGCATAGAAGTCTCATAGAAATGACTGAAGAAATGGCCAAAACAGGCAGCTTTTATTCTTTTTTGGACAAAAGGTCAATAAATTTGTGAGGAATCGACAGGAAAAAGATACTTAGGCTTTGGGTGCTTAAGTCGTGAAGAATCTAAACAGAGTTTGAGCCTGAGGTATTAAATTAAAGAAGTAACAAGGTTCATTTGTACAGGCTTCTCAGCCCCGAATGAATCCCCTGTCTCTGGCAAGAAGGATGTTCTTCCACCTCCAGATGCAAGGAGGGCGCCTCTCACAAAAGAGATTTATTTCCTGCTTTCAGGGAGGCAAAGAGGAGGGTCAGAGTGTCCCTCCTGCGTTGGTTCTTTCTTAAGTAACTTAAGTCATTTAATTCAAAATAATCGATATGCCACTGAGGCACATTTTGGAGTGGCCTGCCCTGAGCCCTAACAGTTCCTAACACAGTAAGTCACTACAAGCTATTATTTTTAATCCCTTTCCATATTTACCCTGTCATCTCTTTAAGCCGAAGTGATTCAACGGAAACACATTCTCCAACAGACCTTCTTCCCATGTCACCAAGTGTGTACGCAGTGCTGAGAGAAAACCTGAGTCCCACAACAATTGAAACTGCGGTATGTCCCCTTTCTTTCCATTGCTGTCAAGGGCATTTCTGAGGAAGCGAAGGTGGTGTGTGAATCAACGAGGGGTGAAGATCTGCAGTGAGAAAACACATTTGTTGGAACAAATCCATGAGCATAACACAAGGGGTGTACGTCTGTATGGTCCTGCGTGTTGCTGATGTTAGGGGCATTGGAAGCAGATACCTTCACTGACTTGAACTGCTTTGAGGTCTTTCCATCAAAAGCCATCCAAGGACAAAATATCTCTGTATCCTCCTACTCAAGTACACTTCACCCCTACTTCCACCATCAGCCCCACCAATCTCCACCACTCTCCCCACTGTAGCAGACAATACTTATATGTCATTATATGCAAGTCTAGTTTAATATTTTATTTTAGCAATTCAAGCACCACAAATTCCAATTTTTCTTGATTATTGGTCCTATCCTGGGAGCTTCTTCAAGTAGTATATGAACAACAATCAATAGCAGTATAATAATACTTTTGAGAACTGAGTCATAATCTTATATGCTACTATGTGCTTTAGGATGCATTCTATCTAGTATTATTCCCCAATATTGTCAAACAGTTCAAAACCCCAATTACATTAGGATGCATGTACATCAGAATAATAGATTCTTGGAGGGACCCTGAGCTCCAAGAGATTAGTGTCTGGCTGTAAATCAAGTGGTTTTTAGTCCTTCTCTCGAAGATTTCCAGGGATAGAAAAACTTATTCCAATGTTAACTGTCCTTAAATCATTTAGTTGTAAGAGGACTTTTGCTACATTTTACACCCATTTCTTCATTACGTTTTTATGGGATGAATAGGCCTCCTTAAAATCGTTTTTATTTATTTTAAAGTTGCGTTTTATTTTAGATTGATCAACCTTAGTTACTTTTGTAAGTACTGTACTTAGTAGTTAATTGGTAGAAAGATTATGAAGTAAAGTATGTATTTAGTAGACAAGAGAATGTTTACCTAAGAAATGGTGACTTACTTGCAAAAGAATAGTTTGCTCAAAGGTCATTTTCATTTTCCAATTTTAGATGAAGTCTCCCTATTCTGCTGAATGACACGATAAGCTCTTGACACTCAAAAGAAGGAAGCAAATGAAAAAGTTTAAAGACTGATCTTTGCCAACAATCACATCTTGTTTCTTCAGCTTTGTATATACCGATTTCCAGGAAATGGTTAAGTTCAAAGCTTTCCTCTCACTGGTATGACACCCCCAAATGGGAATGTCATGATTGAAATGCTAAAAACCAAAGCTTCAGATAAAACACTTTAAGAAACCAATGTTAATATAATATTAACAAAAGACTCATTTGTATGTATTTGTTTCATTTCTGATTCTGTTTCTCTTGTGTTACTTATGATTTTGGCTCTAGCAGGTTTAAGTGTTAAGATTTCACAACAGGTCAAAAATAACAAAGTCACATGTACATTTCTCAAAAACCATCAGGATGGCCTGATGGAAAAGCCTAATAAGCTAATGTCCTGAGTTCTAGCAAGTAAGAGTCATCACACTAGATACAAGATGGAAGTAATGACAGGGCATTAACAGCAGCAATTCACACGGTGTGTGTCCAGGGGTGAATTAGGAAGCCTCTTGGTTGCTATGTCAACATTGTCCTAACGTCAGAATTCACAGCTGCTGGGGTACCACGGCCAGGGACACCTCTCCTATTAGGGAGAGAGATCCAGAGTCATTCCTGGTGGTACCTCAGGCAAACCGCGCTAAAAGCAGACACATGGGTAAAAATCTCATGAAATGAGGACCTGGAGGAAGATAACAACACTGGCCTTGGGTGAGTGATTTGATCCCTGGCTTGTGTGTTCTTCCTCTCTAGAAGAGGTTAGGCTAGGTGGGCTATGGTCCTTTCCAGCTCTAAGAGTCTCTGGTCCCATGAATCCAACCTGAGTCAGGGGAAAGGAATTTAGGATGAGAAGTTCCATCCCTGGTGATGCAGGAGGGGAGGTGGTTTACCGAATGGCAATGCATGTATACGGGCTGCAGGTCTACTTTGATCCTTCCCTTGCCCGGACTGAATGCTTAGTGGTGCCATTGAACAGCTGCTGCCCTTAGTAATAGTGTGGGATCTCCCAGTGCCCAAGCCCTGGGGAGCTCTCCATGTCTCCAGGCCCTAGAGAAGCTGCTGAGCCAGGTGAGGAAGTCATGATGCTGAGGCATCTGCCATGACCAGCCACAAAATGTCCTGAGGCTGGTGTCCAAGATAAGCCCTGACTGCAGAGTCAGAGATGGCAGTCCCCTGTGAGGTGTTCCTCACTAACTTCTTTAATCCATTTCCCATCTTCCAGGTAGGTCAAACAAGGAGAAGCTAATGTTTGATGGAAAAAATTTCAAAGAAAAAAAAAAAAAAAAAGCTTTTAATGTAACCTGCCTTCTCCCTTAGAGAGATTCCATCCTATCCATCTCATCTTTTATACCCAGCCACATGATCCTAGATTGTTCCTATGGGACAAACTCTGCACCTGTCCCAAGGCCAATTCCCTTACTCCTTTGCAAGCTCTTGACAGTATTCTTTGGGTGAAGGTGTCTGTTCAATGTAGGACCACAGGCTAACTGAAGGTGCATTTTCCCAGTCTCCACTTCTCTTCATCAGCCCAATTTTCTTGAAATTCAAATATATGAATTGGCAGCAGAAGCAATAATTTTAAACTTGGTTTAAGGAGGTAATTTCCTCCCAGCAAATACTCATAAACAATTGGATTTAGATACCAAAAAATGTTGCAGAAGCTTTTTATATTTTTATTTTTTTATTTTTGGCTGTGTTGGGTCTTCGTTGCGCATGGGTTTTCTCTAGTTGCGTCAAGCGGGGGCTGCTCTTTGTCCGGGTGTGCGGGCTTCTCACTGCGGTGGCTTCTCTTGTTGTGGAGCATGGGCTCTAGGCACGTGGGCTCAGTAGTTGTGGCCTGCAAGCTCTAGAGTGCAGGCTCAGTAGTTGTGGTGCACGCGCTTAGTTGCTCCACAGCATGTGGGATCTTCCTGGACCAGGGCTCGAACCCATGTCCCCTGCATTGGCAGGTGGATTCTTAACCACTGTGCCACCAGGGAAATCCTGCAGAAGCTTTTTATTCCCTGGAAAATATTAAAAGTATGATGGACTCTCACTTATTTCAGAAGAATTTTGAAAAGCTTGAAATATAGAGCCTGGCAGAAGAATGTCAAGGTTCATATATGTGAGCACAGCCATCTTTGTTATTTGGAGGTAGACAGTACAAGGACATTTGTAGTTTACTCCCTATAATAGAGGCAGAGGCCTCAGTAAGAGTAAGAGTTCAGTAAGCGGCTATTTTTTATTTAGATTCAGAAAATCAAAATCAAGTTCTTGATCCCAGGGTAAAGAGTTATTTCCAGCGGTGTGAGTCTTGCATTCCAGAAACCATCTTTGTGGGGGTAATGGGATTTTGTCAGGAGATTCTTGGGGATACCTGTTTAGATCAGGATAAGGTGTGCTGCCCGAGATGGAAATACGATGGGAAGGGAATTTAGACCACATTTCCACCAAATCCTACCCCAGAATATTTTTTTTCTGCCAACTAATAGCAAATAAGCAGCATTTAATGAAGCAAAATGGAAACTTATTTTCAAAATATTAATCACCTTTTCACTTCTCCCTCCAACCATCCAAGACCTATCACAGATGCCCATTTTGCTAATTCCTTTTCAAATTATTTTTAATGTAAAGACTCACTTTGACCAATTGTACTGAATACCAATGTCTTTATCTGGAATAAGTGGTGAAAGAAGGCAGCTGCCAGTGGATTTCCTCAAAGTCGTAAGGTAACAAGGAAGGCTCCCCAAAGGACCAGGAACGGGGAGGATACTTGTGGCAAAGCTGAGGGAGTTTTCTGTACCTCAAATGGTTCAGGAGGCCCATGTACTCCCTGCAGTAGCAGGAAGAGAATCAGGGGTCAAAGCATCCTAGTGCTGTGTTCCAACAGCAGGAAATTATAGTCCGAACTGGGCAAACTGGTCTCACTGTGCACACATTCCAATTTCTGACAGACAAGTTTTCCTTTTTTTTCAAGTTGACCGTGAACATTGATTTGACTGCACTTCTAAAAGTCTGGCTTATTGAAGCATAATTTACACATAATAAAATTCATCCTTTTCCAACAAACCCATACAGTTGTGTAACCACCACTGTAAGACCTAGAACATTTCCACCAGAGTCCTCACAAAGAGGACACTATGAAAACATGATGAAGGACGTTCTCCACAATATCCTTAGAGTAAATACAGCGAACTATTCCATGTGGCCTCTTATGTAGACAGAAGGCTCTATTTAAAATAAATGGGATCATTTTACTCCCTGCTTAAAATCTTCAAAGGGCTCATGGTGCTGTGGATTGGCCCTCCTCAGCTCGGGTATGTGGACAGAATTCTGGAGAGTCATGAGTTTGAATGGCAGAAGTTAAAGCTTTATTTTCACAAACTTCTAACTGAAACTTAGAGTTTCCTTCAATTAGGAATAAAGGTAACAAACCGTAAACCACACCACGTTTTTGTCACATTACAGTTGGTACACTTATCTCAAAATATTGCTTATGCTAAGCATGACTTTGAAATTGCATTCATCCGACCCACTGCTAGATCTTACTTAATGCCATTAATGAAGAAGCACTTATATTACTCGATCACAAAGTTGGTTTTACTATTTTGATCTCTGTATTTCAATGTAATTGGTTTCCTATTTAATCTTATGCATTTTAGTTTATTCAACAAAAAAAATTAATCTTTGAAAGAGCTCATAGGTTCATCAGACTGCCGAAGGGGTCCATGGCACAAAAAACAGTTAAGAATCCCACCTCTGGATGAAGACTCTAATTCTCAACAGATCTTTCCAAAGTCATATATTATTTAGTCTTCAACTCATTTCTCAACACTTCTCCCCAACAATAGCTTGTCTTCCTCCAAGACTGAACTACTTTCAGTTTCTTTCACGGCCCATGCTCACTCTCGCCTCCCTCTGCTGTATCCTCTCAGGTCTCCAACCCCAGCCCACCTACCCTCTCACCTCAATAACATTCACACATCCTTCAGGCTCTGGAAAGCCTTCCTGCCCAACACATACACACACACACACACACACACACACACACACACACACACACACACACACACGCACATGTGTGGGGCTCAGATCACATCATGCCTCCTCCGTATCCTCTACATTACCCAGCACCGTTCTTATCACCTTGGTTATAAATGCGTATCATCCGTCTTCATTAGACTCTAAGCAAGCTCTGTAGGTACAGGGACAAAGAAGCCCTTGTTCACAGTTATATCCCTAAAATCTAGCACAGTCTGCCTCTTAATAAATACTAGTTAATGATTTAGTGTTTGAACTAAAGGACATACAGGACAGTAGTAAGTTCCTTTCTTTCCTTTGCTCCTTGATCTGCCTTCAAGACAAGGCTAGAATTCCCTTTATAACCCTCCAAACTCTAAAATTGTGGAACAGTCCCCGATATTTTACTTCAAACTGATTAACCAAAACACACTTGCTATTGCTCAAAAACCATAAGACGTTTCCTCTACTTCACCTCACTCATGACATCCAAACACTATAGAAATGCTCTGGAATTAGACTGTCCGTTAGCTCTAACTTCCCTTTAATTTAGCTTTCTCATGTGTGCGTAGCATCCCAGGCATCTGTCCACCCACAGATGAATCAAGTGTTCCTGAAATTTCCCCTTAATTCCCCGTGATTAAACTCATTGCCTTTATTACTCCCGCCCCTGGTAAAAGTCCCACACAACTCTCTCTTACTTAGGCTGGACAGTCATCCACTGAGGTGTCTCACTGGCTGCTGCAGATAAAAAGAACCCTAGAGGCCCTCCAGACAGGGTGGAGATGGGGGAAAGGTTGGAGGCGTGTGGAGGAATGGTGCTCTCACTGAAGTTTTTTGGAATACACCTGTTCTTATTCGTCCTCCCCCTCAATTCTAGCTCAATAGGCTAGAGCCTGTGCTGAGGTCTGAATGGTTGATTTGACCTCTGATACCTTATCCCAGGGTTATTCATTCAAAAATATTTTTGAGACTATGTATCAGGCATTGCCTTTTTCAACCGGGGTTTCCTATCTGAACCACAAAACACAGAAAGTGATTTGCTTGACTATTTTCTCAGTTCTCCCAAGGATGGTACATAGTGCCATTCTAGATAAACAGGAGAGAAGGTAATTAACACACAGATGCCCCGGGCATTAGGCTTAGTTCTCTCGTGGAACCTGAGATGAGACAGGCTGTAACACAGCACAAAGTTCCTCCTGTTGTGAGGAGAGATAAAAACAG